GCTCCGCCCGGCGGCGGCTGCCAGGGGCAGCGCCGGGCCCGGAGCCGCCGGACGAGGCTTCTCCGCGGAGCCGCCGAGCGCCGCGTCCCGCCTGCGAACAGCGCGGCTCGCTCTCTGCTGCGGGGACCTCAGGTCGGAACTCGGGCTCCAGGGTACGTGTATATATGTTACACACAACATATAGATCTCGTAGCTTTTAACGTGCTCGCCCTCGCAAGCGGCGAAAGGCTTTAATGTGAGTTACTCTCTATGTGGAAGCGAAGAAACCTTCTTTCAAGCGGAGCTGCAGTTTTGCTGAATAATCACGTGTGAGTTAGGGGCGGGCTCTTGGCAAAGAGTTTTTTTACGAGTATTTACTACAAGGTCTACTCCAGAAGATTAACCATCCCAATCCTTCTGTCAGTCTCCGATGCCATGCCTGGTTAAAAAAAAATCTCCTCTTTTTCCGATCGTCAGCCACCCTAAAGAATGGCCGAGCCTTCTGGGAACGAGCTGGCGTCCGCGGCTGCCAAGGGGGACCTAGTGCAACTCACTAATTTGTTGCAAAAGAATGTAAACGTCAATGCCCAAAATGGATTTGGGAGGACTGCGCTGCAGGTTGGTATCCAGAGAGGGAGAAAATATTTCATCACTGCTACCTACGTGACCCGGGTTTCCAAAAAGACAACGCTTTAGAGCAGACTGGTGGACGAAATTCGAGTGCTTTTTTTTTTTCTAGAAAAAAAAAAAAAAACTAATTGGATGCCATATTTTATAACTTTAGTGGCTCCAGCTCCCTAAAATGACGTACTTGAAATAAAACTGGTCAAAACCATTCTTTCAGTCGGGGATCACCCTCAATGTCAAGCGGGTTGTGAGTTTAATGTTATTTTGTAACTCGGTGGGGAGGAGGCAGAGAATGAAAGAGAGGAGATGAAAAGAAACGCGTCCGAGGTGAGCAGGGCTTGCGAGCAGGTCCGTAAACACAACCGCGGGGCTGTTGGAGCCTCGGGCTCCTGCGTGTCCCCCCGGGTGCTGTGGAGCCCTCGCTTTTCTCGGCGGGTCCTGGGGGCTGGACGGTACTTTTCCTTTTCACGCTGCTCGGGGCGAATGACCTTCCTCGTGCGAGGCTGTTGCCCAGCCCGGACACCTCCGATGCGGAGTCCCCGGCGGCCCCGCTCGCCCTTTCATGCAGAACCGAGGCTTAAAATTGGGCTTATTCGAGGCTGATTTTTTGAAGGGGTGGCGAGGCGCTGCTCGCAGCTATTTCATTTCGGATCGCGCAGGGTCCCCCGTCCTCGTTTTGCGGTGGGGAGCCGTGCAGACGGGGGCTGGATCACATCCAGCTGCTAACTATTGGGGCTGCTGAAAGATTTCTCTTTTAATAACAGCAGATAATGACGGCGAACGTGGTGGGATGTATACAGAAAAATAGTGAAATAAGTGATTTGTAAATCAGGAGGAAGTGTGTGGTTATTTATACTAAGGGGAATGCAATGCAGTGTGGAAGTGGAGCTGGGGAAGTTTTTAATTTCCCACATTAGAAAAATCGTTTCTATTAACTGCTCTCCCCCCCTTTTCCCCCGAAAGCGAGATATTCATTTCTGAAATTTTGTTTTCGGAAAGCATGCGGTTTTCTAATGAACTCGAGATAGTTGCAGGGTCTGGATTTTTTTATTTTTTTTTCCCAAAAAAACATTAGGGCTCGAAAATAAGCACCTCTTGTTGCGGAGCAGCAGTGACCCTTTTTTCTTTGGACATTTTCCCCCGCTTCTCGGGAGCTGGGCGATTATCTTTGCACTATTATCACCTAAATAGGACATGGTGTGACAGGGCAGGCACTTATAGCAACTTTTTAGGGGAAGGGAAGGAATGAAATTAAAAACTTGCACCAAGTAACTTCTTTAAGAAAGAAGGAAACATTTAGCTAGATGCTTTATCCTCCAGACGGGGGCTGACAACCGATTTGTGCTGCACTTGTGTATTTTACTAAAAGAAGCTACCAGTCCATCCCCTAAATTAAGGAATATTTTACCCGAGGACAGAGCACCCAGCTATATTAAGCGCATCTGGGCACTAACAATAGTGTTTTTTGTTGTAACCTAATCAGAACTGAGTTAAGGAACCGCAACAAAAATCAAAACAGGAGAATGTGTCTGCTTATTTTCACTATGTATCATCCCGAAAGGGGTTGTGAGGGGGTGACCACGCTCGAGAGAGCTCTCGGTCCCTGCCAGCTCCCAAATGGAGGTGAGCTCTTGGTAACCCCTCTCGCACTTACAGTGCAGAGAATATGGATATGTTATTACAAAATAGTATTTCTTTTTCTTTCTGGATTTATCTTTAATTAAACGAGTGCTTGTCTTCCTCGGCACTTTTTGTTTGTGATGAAGTGCACCTATACAGGCCGCAAATGCAAGTTCTGCCTTAAGCTCTTGGTCATACTTATTTACTAATTGCTTTTTCCTTCTTTACCTCCCTTTCCACGAGTGAAATTTTCAAAATAAAGGGCATTTTGGGACAGCTGTATCTCACATCCAAATAGCATCACCTTTTTATAAGATTTTCTTTCCTCCCCCCCCCCGCATCTTTAAATGAAGCCCTCAGTCCCCTAGCCTGCTTTCCGTGTGCACATAAACTGCCACTTGAACCAAATACATGTTTTGAATACAAAAATAATACAGCCTGGGCCCTCAAAGAGAGACAAAAACACCCCCATTTATAAAAGAAAGAGGGAGCACTTATTTACTTTCTCTTATTTCCCTTTACACCTCTTACATCTCTTTTGAAAACTGAAATAAATGGTACATAAAAGTGCACGAAATACTGTGCCATAGATAAACATCTTGCCCTGAATCTCCTTCCATCTTATCCGCAGTTTTGTTGCTGTCTGTAAATGTATTTTAAAGGCTACTTTACATTCTAGATGTTACATTAATTATATTTCCTATAGGTGTGCCTTTCTGATAAAGCCTTTTTTTTTCACTGATAACAGTATTTCAGCAATACCTTGTAAAAACATACATTATATTGAATATAATGCCCGTTTGTGATGATAAAAGATTCTTTGCAAAATTTTAAATGTAGATGTTTCTAAGAAAATTAGGAAGTTTTTTTTCCCCAATTTGACACTTGTAAAATAACCTAGTTGCAAGAACAGTAAATTATTCCTATAGGTTGGAGATTATTTAGTGCCATGTTCATTTTGTAAAGGTTGTAAGAAAACAAAAACTGAGAAACTTGGGGAAAATTGGTACAAGCTGTTAAGCCTTAAATTAAAGATAACTGCTTCCTAATTATAATAATTCTATGATGCAATCAAGAGCATGTAAAGAAGCAAACTTTTCTTTTCTTTTCTTTTCTTTTTTTTTTTCCTGAGAGGAAGAGTGAGAAAATTCAATTAGTGCTTTTTTAATGAGGGACATTTTGAACAACAGAATATAACCAGAGTTTGCTTATAGTGAAATTATGAAACTATGAAGTAATATACTGGTTTTAGAAGCTTTTTTTTTTTGAAGCTTATGGAACTTGGAAACATCCCTCCTAACTTCTCCTTTTTGGGTAACATAATGAAACCCAAATATTGGGGAGAAATTTTTCTTCGAGGATTTATTTTTCTTAGCAGACAGAAGTATGGCACAGTACAAATATTTGTTTTATGATAATACACAGACAATGTAAACACCTGAAAGTTTATAAAAACACTTTCTCCTTTTTCTGTTACCGAGGTAAAATATCTGTTCCTCGGGAAGTCCCATATTTGATTTTTGAACTGATTAAACAGTAATGCAGAGGAGTTTCGATACTGAGGCAAAGAACAAGAGTCATTTTTAATTTTCATATGGTGAGGGGCTGAGGTAACCCAAGCTGAGGAAGTTCTTCTCCGTATCGATGTGCTGAGCTGCATGTTTTAGGCATTATGCTCTCCGAGGCAGCGGGCTGTCACCGTAGAAGGGGTAACATCCTCCACGATCTGACTGTAGTTAGGGGGGAAATACTGCATGAGAAGGGGTGTCCTGACGCATCATTAGTCTTCTTTGGACTAAGGAGGGAACCGCGCCGGGGCTCGGGAGCAGAGCAGGGAGCCGCGCGACTCACGTGTGCCTTTCCCCGCAGGTCATGAAGTTGGGCAACCCCGAGATCGCGCGCAGGCTGCTCAGCAGCGGCGCCGACCCCGACCTCAAGGACAGAACGGGCTTCGCCGTGATACACGACGTGGCCCGCGCGGGCTTCCTGGACACTTTGCAGACTCTGCTGGAGTTTGAGGCCGACGTGAACATCGAGGACGCCGAGGGCAACCTGCCGCTGCACCTGGCGGCGCAGGAGGGCCACGCGGCCGTCGTGGAGTTCCTGCTGCGGCGCACGGCGAGCCGCGTGGGCCACCAGAACAAGCGCGGCGCCACCGCCTGCGACCTGGCCCGGCTCTACAAGCGCACGGCCGTGCTGAGGCTGCTCGAGGCGCCGCCCGCGCCGCAGCCCTGACCGCCGCCTCCCCGGGATCAGCATCCGTCATAAGAGTTTGGGCTTTTTTATTTTTCCCCCTTTTTTTCCCCGCATTTTTTTTCTCTCCTTCCTGAAGGTGGGTTCGCAGCCGAGGTGCCCGCGCCCGGCGCTGAGGGACTGAGCCGCGCGCCGCGCTGCCTCGGGCGGCGAGCTCCGCGCGCCCCGCTTTGTGTCGCTGCTTTTACCTTTGGAGACGCCAGAGTAGCTCGCTGTGACACCTTCCCCCCCTCCCGCTTCCCCCACGCCTTACTTTTTTAAAAAAGGATGTCTTGTTTGGGGTGAAACAGCTCCAAACTGTTAAGGGCTGTTAAGGGGCTACCTGCAAAGCGGGCAGGGCAGAGAGCGGGACGCGGCTTGGCCCAAAGGGAGCGGGTGTCGCGCCGAAGCGTTGGGAAACAGCTGCGTTTTGACACTAACAGGAGCTTGTAGAAGTAGGTCACTCGCTTTCTAAATGTAGATTGCACTTTTCCCCTTTGTGTATTTAAACTTTCACCGAACGACTTTTGAATTTAGTTACCAGCGGCAGTATAAGTGGTCTCTGTGATTGCCAGAGGTTTTGAAGGGCTCGCTTGAGCAGCCGGTGTTCGCCGTGCGCTGCACGACGCGTTCCCCGCTTCAGAGCAAGCAGCAGATCCCCGTGCTCAGAGGAAGGACTATGAGGAGGCTGCAAAGCATCATTTTTTTTCTGGCCGTTTCTTAAGCTGAGAGCAGTTTGAAGGCAGCCTAAGAAATACTCGCTTTTCACCAACTGCTCTGCTTTGTTTTCGTGTTGGAAATAAACCATTATAATGATAGATGCATCTCGCAGAATATGAGCATTTGAAGACAGTGAAATTCAGGAAGCAACACGTCTGATATTCCTGAACTTGTATCACAGCTTGCAGCTAAAATACAAATTAACCCTTGAATATTTTCTGCTACGGTGCAGTTGATAGCATGTCCAAGCCCAAAACTCGTTGATCTCGATGGGAGTTAACGATGCTCAGCACCTTATCGGAATGAGTTCAATACAAAACCCTTCAACGTTTGTGTAGCTCCCACTTGTTCGACATATGAGCAGTTTAAAGTGCTTTCCTTTGAATAGTTTAGGTTTTAATCGCACAAAACAGACGATATTAAATCTGGGTAAAATTAATAGATAGGTACAAAATAGCACTTAAAAGAAATAAGATAAGTAAATTTAGATTTCCCCCCCACATCCCACAAGATTTTAGCCTCCCCCACGCAAGACCAGCTCCTCTTGCTTTCAAGTGAGAAGTAATTTCCTGGCTCTGTCATGTTTAGCCTACGCTCTGTCACACTGCTGTGTTTTCTGATTAAAACCCTCTGTGAAACACGACGCTCTGCGCAGTTTTGTTCCTCGGTCCGTGTGGAACAGGGACGCAGGCAGCGCGGTGCGGTTTCGTGGGACCATCTCCATAATTTCTGTGTGGAGATCAATAAAAATATATAATATAATATCTAATAACAGCCTGGAGAAAGCCCCAAGTTTTTCTCTTATAAGAGAAACCCAAGGGACCACGAGGATTTCCCCGCTGTGGCGCAAAGGTGCAAGGTAACAGTCACCTTCCTCGCTGCTTCTTTTTATCAAGGTCGTCTGAGCCCTGTGTGGGGCTCCAGCAGTCTCTACTTTAATTTTAGCTGAACTGAAGGTTAAGCGGTGCCTTAATAAAACCGGTCCTTCTCGGGGGCAAATGTCCCGCCTATGCCGAGGTAGCGGCATTTATTCCGCGCCGCAGGTTCAGGTGCTGAAGGAGGAGGGTGTTCGCGGTCAAGCCTAGAGCTGCGGCGTGTGAGTCACGCGCGATATAGGAGCCTGATTTGGAGCCAATTTTGCTTTATGTCCACACGGGCATTGATCTGTAATGCTCTCTGCAGCTCTCGTAAACTAAAATCTCAGCCCAGATTCCCGGAAACTGTAATTATGGCAGCGAACAGTCACTGCAAAGAGATTCAGGGGAACTGAAGGAATAAACCAGCTAATAAGCTGGGAGCACCTTAAAGAGAGCGGAAATTGTGACTTGAGGTAGGGTTCTGGGGTCATTTTTTTTTTCCCCTGAAGGAATTATTGCATTCATCCATCAATAACAAAATGATATAAAATAAGTCTGCTCAATAATAAGGATCGTGAGACTGAAAAAAAAAGTTTGCTGGTGTTGGATGTGGTTTCAGAAATTACTCCTGTGATTCTTCTCTTTTAGTCTGACAACATCAAAAAGATCAGTTTTACATATTCGCATAATTTTGAAAATGGCAACAATAATGTTTGCCAGGAGTCTCGAAACTGCACGGTTGTAGGATGGAACGAAATATTTGGGGGCTCCTTTATCGGAAGGTAAAGCAACTAAAAAGCCCAAGCAGTAAGAGAGGAGCAGAGTCTGCCCCGCAGCAGCCCAGGAACAGAGAGTATCGAGGGGAGTTATATAAATAGAAACAAATACAGCGAGCACAGTGCAAATATGAAGCAATGGAGTATAACATGTAACTGTGTCAGGATTACTACAGAGCAGGCAACTTCGGGCAGCAGGAATGGGGACAGAGCCCTCTCCCATATTTTGGAAATCGCGCGTGATCGAAACTGTTTCACTTGACCTTTGCTTCCCGAACGGTGCCAGAGAGTCTTGAATTCCCCCCTGAAAAAAGGGACAGGAAAAATCCCCTAAAGGGATCATATAAGGAGGGAGCAGTTTTTGTAGCTTTGCAGGAGAAGGAAAGGAGCAGCTCGGGAGTGCAGAGAAGCCCAGGACGAGAGGGGCGCTGGGCAAAGGAACACGAAGCTAATCGTGAAATTGTGAAGGGGGGCAGGGGAATAAGAAGATATTTTAAGATGGATTCGGCTTAATCGCCAGTGAAATAAATGACTGCACACTGAAGTACATGAAAGGAGATTTTTTTTCTTCACCTTGAATTGGTGAGAGGAATGGAATAAATGTTTTATTACACAGTGGAATGAAAAATTAACTTGTAAGCAATGCCACTGTGTTGTTCCCACGAAGAAAGAGTTAAAAGTAACAGGAAAATATCGATTTTATATCTTTTAAAAGAAGGAAAGATGTTTCTTCCGCAGATGTACCTGACAAGTCCCTGGACAGCCAGCAGCAACCACACGTTATAATCTCCTCACTAAAGTGGTGAAATTCCCACGAAAAAAAAAAAATGAAGGCGAGAGAAAGCTGCTGTATTTATTTTGAAGGTCTGTGTCATTGTGCATGGCGGGCGGGGGTGGGAAAGAAGAGAGAAAAATAAAAGTAAAAAAGAGAGGAGAAGGCAGCGGGGAAGGCGCTTTCCCAGCGAGCGCCCGGAGCCGCTCTCGGAGCCGCCGCCCCGCAACGCGCGCGCTCAAAATGTCGGTGCCGGCGGAGGGAGCCGCGGGGGTGCCCGGGGGCCGGGGCGGCCCCGCCGCGGCGCGGGGCAGCGCGGGCGGCCGCGGGGAGGGCGCCGGGCAGCGGCGCGGGGCGGAGCGGGGGGGCCGCGCGGCGCCGAAACCGTTAGGTTTGGCTCCTGCCGTTCCTTTCCCCTTTCTCTTCCTGTCCAAATATTTTTAAATTTACGCGCCTTAAATAACAGTCTGATTTTATTTATTTAGTTTCCTCCGCGGGCGCCGCGGCCGCTCGCTTTGCCCCCCACTCTCCTCCCTGCTCCCGCCGCCGCCAGGGGCCCCGGGGGCGGCCGCCGACCCGCGCAGCGCCCCGCGCAGCGCCCCGCGCCCCTCCGCCACCTTCGCGCCGCTGCGTTTCCCCGCCACTTGCGCTGCGCCCTTTTTCCCCCTTTTTTTTCCTTCTCCCCCCCAGCTTTTTTTTTCTTTCTTTTTTATTTTTTTTCCCCTCCAGCTTCTCCTGCCTTTATTTTTTTTTCCCGCTCTTCCTGCAGTGGCCCCGGAGTCGCCGCAGAGCAACCTCGCAGCCCGCGGTGAGTAGCGCGGCGGCCGCGCGCAGCTTCCCGCGCACCGGGGCAGGGGGACACGGAGCAGCAGGTTGGCCCGGGGCTAGGGGGGCGCTCAGGCTGCGCAGCTCTGGCCACGCGGGGGACATCGCGCCGCGTGTCCCCGCGGCAGGACCCGCGCCGCGCGGTGCATCCCCCGCGGGCAGCTCCGCGCCGCGGACCTCCCCGCGCGAAACCCACTCGCGCCAGGGCACTGGCTGCTAAGATGGCTCCTCGTGTCCCGAGGCGGCAGCGGCTGCAGAGCCCCGGGGATATTTCACGCTACACGCTACTGTTGGCCACGCTGCGCTTATTTCCCCCCCCATCCCGTTTGAATTCCCTTGGAGCACCGTATCATTCCCAGCGCTGCAAATTGAATCCTAGCTGTGAGGAACGGAGTTCTCGTGCGCTGGATGCTCTGCAGTAACCTTGACCTTTCATTACTGCCCAGCCTAAGCGCTAAGTCACAGGGCAAGGCGGGTACCGAGTGAGGCACCTGTAAAGCTTTAAGCCTGCGTTAAAACGGTCGCAGAATCACAGAAAACCAGGAGTAGCGAGGGGCTAAAAGGCAAAATCCAGAGCCTGCTGGGGATCTCAGGCTGTTGTACCCCAGATCCGGAGCTACTGCACCCAGCCTCACATCGACCTTAGCAAGTGGGTCCCTCTGCACTTCTTAAACTCCAAGTGCCAGAGAGGGTAAATTCCCACTGGAAGAAACTGAATCAGCCACAAATTTAAGCAGCTTTTCAGGGAACTAAGAGAGCAGTGAACCACGTTTCCAGTTGCTTTTCTTTGTTCCTCTCTAAGCAGTTGCTTTCTGCTATGAGAAGTAATTCAGGGGGCGACTATTATTTATGAGGGTTTAAAATAAAAAGTTTGATTTCCTGGAGGAAAAGATGAGATGTTTTGCTCTCCACCGTGTCCATTAAAAGGTTAAAGGCAATTCAGAGCTCCGTCCAAGTTTTTCCTCAGCAGATAGTGCCTATCAAGATGCTCTTTCTCTTTGCCTCTCACACGCTGCGAGCCAGCAGCGAGGCAGCATTTACAGGACAATATAGTCCTGCTCACTCCTCAATATTAAGATTACTACTGACAAAATGATACTTTAGACAGCACATTTGCAGAGTTAATGAAAATTTAGATGAAAAGAGACAAACGCGACACAATGCACAACAAAATGTGATAGTCCGTGAGTGCACAAAGTTTTCAGACACCAGTGAGAGGTTCTTTTCAGGGTCTAAACCTAACGAAACACCAGAACCACACTCGGTGCACATCCCAGGCACATTCAGAGTCCACTGCAAATCAGAATGAGAGCTTTTGCTAAAGCTAATTGAATTTTTCTGTTTAGTGAGGATTGCATATTTAGGCCTTAAGTTAACATCTATTGAAATGTAAATAAAGACATTTGGATACACTTTGTAAATCACCAGGAGTGTTTTCTCCTTCAGGTATGCTAATAGTGAGGTGATCTATCTTATGAATATCTGCACTTCTTAGTAAGACAGGTGAGGGTGCAAATATATGGATAAAGAAGCCTAAATCATGAACTTTTGCTTATATTTAGTAATGGTGGAAAATGGGCAGAGAAGATTTGCAGTCCCCCCTCGCTAGAACACAAGCAGGCCTGGAAACAGAGCTGTTAATTGTATTTTATTTTTCCCCTACAGATCAGAATTACTTAGTCTTCTAAAAGGAGAAGCACACTCTTGTAGAAAAAGCAGCATTAAATCTGAGCACAGTATGTAGTCCTTAAGGGTGTGATTGTAGGGACACGAACAGATCTCTTCAAGGGAATTTTATAGGAAACAACTGGTAAAGAAGAAAATGTATTTGTTCACTTAACATTGTAACTTTTAATAATATCCCCTCCCTGTGCCCATGGATTTTCTCTAATTGGTGTGATGTATGGGGATTTTTCAGCTGTATTTCTATTTGAGCTTCCTTTGAAGTGAGAGGCACAGATAAAAAGCTGTGCTACACCACGGTCGATTCACAGCCGAGTCGTAAATGCAAATACTGGAGTGAACGATAATTTCCTTCTGTAGGAGCATTTTAATTTCAAGAAACATATGGGTTTATGTAAAGAAGGTAGTAGATAATTAACTGTGTTCATTTAATCTAATTATAGGCCTCTGAGGCAAAAATCTGACACTTTTCATTGTGGTATATTCAGAGAAGTTAATTGAAAAAACATTGCAGCCACAAGGCATAACATGCCCATCGTATACTTGATACTAATTCCTTTTTTTA